AAATAAAAATTTGCTTAAAGTGACTGAGTCGACCATTTTCCTATATTTTGTTTGGATTGATTTGTTTAATTTAATTTGATACTGATACAAATAAAATGCAGCATTATCGACAAAAATAGGTATTTATTTCGTCTTTGAAAGGAAATGTGCTTATTTAGTGCTTCTGTTTGAGGAGAGATGAATATTTATAAAATCATGGATGCGGATTAAGAAAAATGCACACAAAACTTTCTTACAAGTATAAAATAGAATTCTTGATTGTTTGGTACATTTAAAATGATAAAATTAATGCTTATTTTATTTAATAAAGAAACTGACAATATTTTGAAAACTGAATATGTAATCTCACTTCTTCAAGACTCAGATTACATTGTTCCCAATTGGTATGCCTAATCACTTGTTTGGATTGCACAGTCATTAGGTTTATTTTTGGAATAGAAAACAGGAAAAATCAGCAATGCTCTCGCTGAGATTTGAGCTCCGGCACTCTCGATTGCCAACCGAAAGTGCTTCCAATTATATTATGAATGAAAAGGAAAATTCCTTACGTTTTCCCTTTCATTTGAAGGACAACTGGAGAGGAGAAAGCTTAGCCACCAAATCCAGGCGGTAACGAATTATAGTCCACCACATTTTAATTGGGGTGCCACTTGTAGATTAATTAGGCTTATTTTGGAAAAAGAGACATTAAAAGTCAGCAGTATTCTTGTCGGAATTCGAACTCTGGGTCTCCCGATAGCCAGCTGGATGTGCTTTCAATTACATCACGAAAGCAAGCAGTAAGGAAGAAGAAAATCACTTACAAGATTTTTATTACCTATTTTTTACTTTGGATTTTCGCAATTTATGTGATTGAGAAATAATGCATGTAACTAGTGCATTATAATTTTATTATTATGAATATGCTTCTTGCACTGAAAATAAAAAGAAATATATGGGGAAGGAGGGAGGTACTTCTACAGACTGCAGCTTTCTCACTCTAATTACTATATTTATAATTTTTAAATGGAAAGAGTTTTGAAAATCTTTATTCACGATTTTTCAATATTTTTATATGATACAGAAGTCTATTTACTAGTACTTTTACCAAGTGCAAACCTAAAAGGAATGAGGTACGATGTAGAAGATGTTTACGATGTTTTTTTTCTTTCAAACATATAACTGCTAGCCCATTTACGTTTGAATATAATTTTTGTTTCCTCTAGGGAAACATTTCTTCTTTTCTAATTAAGATTGTCAAAAATGAATCTTGCTTTGTTGATTTCTGTTCATACAGCTTCTTCTTGACTCTTGCTCGTACTCGTTGTAGTTGTTGTTATGATTGATCTCACTTGTCTCAATCTCATCATCAGAACAAGCCTACGAAATTTATCATTGTAAGGAGTACAGGATTACATCTGTCGTTGGTAAGAACCTTGGCCACCATATAGGTTACAGTTTGATTTTGCCCAGTTTCATCCCCGTTTTGAGGGAGAGCACGCAGGGTGTGATGGTGGTCCGAAAGTCTCCCACCCTTCCTGCCCTACCACCAAACCACATGAGAGGACTCTCGGCTCGCCATATATTTAGAGTGCCGCTATGCCGCAACGACACTATACCTTTAAAAATATTCATGCTTTCTCCGGGATTCGAACCCAGACCCTTCGGTACAGTAGTCAGAGTCACTAACTACTATCCCGTTTCGGCGGCACTCGCAATCGTAATGTAGAAATACTTGAAAAAGCAGCATATGATTATTAATTTATTTAGATGTTATTATCATTATTATTTAGACTATCATTATATATCAGAATTCAAATGTTCAGCTGTTGCTATTGAACCTTTTACACCTTTTTCAAAACATAAAATGTTTTTAGAAATTTCTGTATAAAGACAAAACTATTATCACATAATAACGCATATTATTTTTTACGCCGTTCTGTTATTTTTCTTCACCTTTCTGTTAGTTTGTTAGCGATCACATTAATTTTCTTGCACCTCGTGACCTTCGCAGGTATCTTTATACTCATTTCAGAGACGAAATTTGAAAAAAAAAAACAAAGATATCAAAAGTTTCAATCTTTATCTAGAACATTTTAGAAAAGTATAAATATAAAGTCCTTCAAAATGTCCTTGAAAAAAATCAGGCACAGAGATAATCGAAGATGTCTGTAATTCTAGGAATCTTCGTTCAGTAAAATTCTCTTATTAGAATAAACTGCCTTTTTTATTTTTAAATAATACCCATTTTTAAAGCGCAGCTTTCAAGTTTCTATGTGAGAAAGCTCTTTAAGAATTTTTTGCTCTAATTAAAAGAGCGTTTCCAATTTTCTGACGATTAAATTATCTTAAGGTTCTTTTGCGCCAGAAGGATAATTTCGAAAAATTCCAGCCATTAAAGTAAAAGAAAGCATTCTTTAGAATTTTTTAACAATTTAGTGCAATAGAAGTTTCTTGTTTCTTTAATTTAGGAGGCTTTTGAAAGTCAATGAGTCGATACTATAAATCCTTTTCTCTTAGGCTTCTAAAGGTAAAATCAAGTAAATTAAGTTTTTATTGAATGAAATTTTGTTAGGAGAAGCTAGAATTTTTGGAAACAGTAGACAGTTACTATTAGATACAACTTAAATAAAAGAAAAACCGCTCAGTAACAAAAGTTTGCAAAAGCCAAACTCAGACCAATTTAAAAAATGCCAGCTCTTGACGAAGTACAGAATAAAACATATAGCTAACTAGATTAGATAGATTATTCTAAATAACAAGCACATTATCTTGAAAGGTGTGAACTAGAACAGCGGTTCTCAACTTTTTGAGTAAACAAAAATTGAAAACGTTTAGTACCACCACTACAAAGTATTACTACTACCACCACTCTTGAACAAGCTCAGATTGCATAAATTTAAGAGTGTTAGAGAAAACTCAATCAGGATATTGAGGTTTTAATTTTTGAATTTAATAGTTAAAAATACTTTGCTTCTTTTTTGTGTACCACTTATTTTCTCTTGCGTATCACCCATGGTACGCGTACCACCGCTTGAGAACCCCTGAACTAGAGTGCTTATATTTTCTTCAGTGATCATCATTTATAATTTATATTAAAGGAATAGTTTTTTTAAAAATGATAGCTTGAGCAGAAAGTTAACGAAGTAATCTAGGCAACGAAACTGTTTTCCACTTCTACAAATTTCTTCATCGAAATTCGGAGACTTCTATATAAAAAAAATAAGCTTCTTAACTAACCAACACATTATCTCCGCATGTCTGAGTGCAGGTACGCAGATGCACATTCATATATAGTATTATATGGGAAATTAACTGCACCTTTTTCTGGATGCACAAATTTGTTCTTATGCGGTATCTATATAGACACATAACCCTTACGAAAATACGTGGCATACTATCCTCAGTATACATCACATTTACATAGTATTTATTGTTGAATATCTGAAGTATAACTTATTTAATTAAACAAAGGACTTTTTTTTATGGAAGAAAAATATGACAAAGGAAAAAACTTAAAATAGCTTAAATTTAAGAAAAGTCTCAGGGGAAAAAAGTGAAAAAAAGCTCTTTTGGCTCCTGAAGAAGACTGGTGCATGTCAATCGCACTAAAAATAAATACAGATGTATTTAAATTCTATGGGAGTTTAAGATTATTTTTCAGAAAATTTCAAAATGCAGGTTTTATTTTAAGCTTCACTTTTATGATTCTGGTTTCACTTTTTTAAAAAACGTTTTGAATAAGAAAGTCATGAATTCTGGTATTTTATTTGAAATGTCTTGAGACACAGTCATTTCTTTTGCTAAATTCAATTTGATGTTCTTCATAGCGCAAAATAAACCCAAAAGAAGAATTTATTCTATTTCTTTCCAAAGTAAAGTTTAGATCAAAGTAAAATCTATTATTTAAGTCTACTGGATATCTTTTCCAGGACTTCCGTACGGTCAAAATTGTGGAAAGCATGAAACAAATTGAATTCGAAATTGAATTTTCCATTCCATGATAATGATATTTCTATAAGGAAAACATGAACTGTTTGCTATCTCATATACATAAATTTTATCATTCGAAAGAGTCTGGGCTTCAAGGTATTAAGTATTTTTTCCTTCCTTTCGACATATATTCGTGGTGGTGTAATTGAAAACACATTCGACGCGTATTCAAGAGGTCCAGAGTTCGAGGTCCAGCCGAGGCCATTGCACATTTTTCACGCTATCTCGTTTAATAGAAACCCAATGACACAGCATAGTGGCGCCTGAACTAAAAGGTGGTGGATAATAATTCGTCACCACCAGGATTTGGTGATTGGGTTTCCTCATTCCCAGTCGTCCTTTAAAAGGGGAAATACATTAGGTATTTTCTCCTCCCTTTCTGCACGCCTTTGTGAATTTTTCTGTTCTAAAAGCATACTCGACACGTATTCGAAAGATCCAGGGTTCGAGTCCCAGAGAGGGCATTGCATATTTTTCACGTCTCTTGCTGGGGAAAAAACCTAATGACTCTGCAAAGAAAAGAAGAGCTTATTTTTTCACATTAACTTTTTAATATTTGTTTCTGTTCTCCAATTCAGAGTTTGTAAAATATGAGTTCATAGAACGAAATATGAGGCTTTTGAAACTTTTATTCTTTATGAAGGTTTATTTCCTATTTCTCACAAATGTTATAGTAAATTATTTAAGATTTAATACTTTATCTTCCTATTTAGTAGCATTATGAGTATTCTAAGTTACTTTGGTAATGTTACCTTTTAGAGGTTATTAACTAATCATCGTAACTCTTTCCTTTTTGCAGTAATTAGCTAATTAGACGAAAGTTTTATTTTAGACATCAAGTAGAAGTTTAATTAATGGTATTATCTAAAATATGCGCCGCAGTTTATAATTTATTTAAAACTGTTTCAGGATTTTCATATTTTAATCGATCATAAGATACAAATTTTTCAAAAGTATAAATTTACGATCTAATTAGTTTAATTTTAAGATTACTTGATATATAGTAAACTTTCATTCTAATTCTTACCCTCACTTAAGTTTATGGATGCCAAACTGTGATTTTCTTTCAAATAAAAATTGCTATTTTTCCATGTTTGCAAGCTTGGTAGAGAAACACTGAATTTCCAAAGGCGCTTTCTGAAAAAAAAATTTTTAATGCATTTATAATGTAGTATTTCACTGAAAACTTAAAGTTCAACGAGTTTCTTGAAGAACTGCATTTAAGTGCAAAAACAAAGAACATTTAAACTTGGGGGAAAAAAAGGGAACAACATGATTACTTTTCACTCTTTCTTTCAGTATTTTATTCATAACCGTCTTCATTCGCAGAACTCTATACATTTAAGCACTTCTTTAAAATCTCAGAGATTCAGGTTCATCTGTCTTTAAAACGTTCACCATCCACTTTTTGTGGATAATGGATTTAAATGATTTACAGCTGTGTAAAAGCTCAAGTTGATAGTGCACCAATAATTGGAAAGCGATAATTGGAAAGCAATAATTGCAAACAACTGATGTAATCAAATAAAATTTATAAGAATACTTTGGTGGTTCGAAGCTGGAAATGCATAAAAACAAAAACGTTTTGTCATGGAATCGTCTCTTTGAAACTGTAAGAGTTACTGTGGATAAGAAATAAGTTAAACTCGCAGTGTGAATCTATTCAAAATAATTTCCGCTACCTTATTTATTATTTATTGAAGTAAATCTACAGAAGTATTTTTTCAAGCTGAAGAGATGTAGAAGATGTACATCACTTAATAGTAATACTGAATCACCAGTCAAGAATTCCTTGGTATTTTATACTGAAAACATTTAAGAGCTTTCAGTACAAGCAACGGAACATTCAACGGAAAAAAATCTGTAATTGATTTAATGTGTATTTACTTCCCAGACTTCACCTAAATTAGTAATTCACATCTTCCATATTTACTGTAGAGGAATATCCGGTTTCAAATTTCTGTTATCTCTTGCGATTTGTATTATATATTGTGAATTTCTGAACCAAAGCGAATATTTTATGAAAGTTAATAACATTCATGTGCATTTAAAGAAAAATTAAACATAGGTTATGTTATAAGAAACCCTTTACTCAAATTAATTAGAGTACACAAGAAATATTATAACTTTATTGAAACTCAACACGTTTTGAATATATTTAAAAAAGTATTGCGTTGTAATGAATTTTAATCCTTGCTTTTATTTCGTGGATTAACTACCAAAATTTTGCCCTTCTTTGGAATTATGTTTGTAAACACTGTATAATTATAAACGAAACTACATACAATTAAAATTATAATTGAGAATTTGTTGAACATTTATGGGAACTTAATCATGTCTTCTCTTACACTGACTGTTTATCTGAGAAAGCGAATATTTAATTACAATATTTTTAGCCTACATGCTGTAGAAGAATGAAGCTTTCTTTGGAGAAGAAAATCTTGAAAAATCAACCTTGCCTTAGTGAGGAACTAAACCTAAGCTGTCTAACTATTTATTTGATATGCTGACCATTGCACTATTACAAGGATATATCAGGAGTATCTTTAATTTCTTTCAGTGTTAGGAACAATATTAAGCTCACCGATGTAAAAAAAACACCCCTTTTTTATTTGTACTATCAAAAAAGCAGCGTGACTTGTATTACAAATCAACATTCGAGCTATCCCAGCATTCTTTTGGAGGTATAGCTCGCAGTTAAAAAAAGTTAGAAATGGCTGTTAGACGCCCACATCGATTGCATGCTGGACAACTTCCCGCAACGCACTTATCTTGGATCATTGCTTCGATCCCAGCCGGCAAGTAATTGCGAGATTATTTTTGCCGGTTGCCCCACAGCAGTAAGTCCAATTAATCCCTGATTTTAGCCTGGACTGAAAGAGCTACGGTATTCTTGAAGCGAAGACTCAGATTGCAGGAATTCGCAGTGTGATTTTACTAAGGTTATTTTAGTTATCTTACAATACGCGGATACGGGGATTACTAAGAAAATTATTATTACGTATGAAACTAAAAATATGTTTCCTTTTATTTTATAATGTGATGAGAGATGAAAATATCTTTTTTTTTGTTTCATTTTAACAAATTCTCTCGTCGATAACATTTAAAGTATGATGGATTCTCAGTTTTAAGCTGGCGCGACTAAGTAAAATGTCCATAGTATCGAAAAGTGGTAAAATTAAATAACATTAGAAAAAGAGAAAAAATGCAACTATCCAGAATGTCTAAGGTAGTTATTCTTTTAATTAGCAGGATCAGCAAGGATTAAGTTTCATTGCCAAGGAGATAGACTCAAAGACAAGCATTTCGGAACTAACTTTTATCTCTAAAAATTAAAAAAGTGTATTTAAAGGGTAACTTGAAAGTAAAATGTGCATATTAGAGGGTTCATAAAAATGTGAATTCCTCTCATTAGAAAACCTGTAAAAATGTTTCTGTCTACCAGTGGCCGAGCAGTAAATTTACTGGACATTGATAGTTCTACCTGTGTTCAGGCCCACCAGCGGCCGAGCGGTAAAGTCGCTGAATACTGGTAGTTTGATCAGAGGTTTGAATCTCGCGAACGGGCTGACTGCATGGGCGGTTTCGTATGTGTAACGTGTATACGATCCAGTTTCTCTTACAAAGACCTCCACGAAAGTATCCCTATTCGTAGGCAGATAGCCATCGAGGCTTTGCCGTTATCTGATAAAAACAACCAAACCTGGGCTCAGTTTTAGGCAGGCGGGTGGCTGCATGGGTGCTTTCGTGGTTTTCCCCATGTGTAATGTGGATACGAGCCAATTTCCCTTACAAAGACTTCCAGCAAGGCATCACTTCCTTAGGTAAGTAGCCTTCGAGTATTTTGCTATAATTTAATAAACCAAACCAGACCAATCAAACTGCAAAGTTGAGAATATTTTCATTAATAAAAAAGACTTAATAAATAAAGCAGATTATAGGAATACTTGAGCTGCAGGTTTGGGTATTTCGTTAAAAAATTAAAAGAAAACTCTAAAGTGAAGCTACAATTCTATCGTAGTTTCATACAAGTAAATCAGAAAGGAGTTACTCTGAAATGATAAAAAAATTTTTTTACTATCTAAAAGCTCATCTCAATTAAAATCCACCAAATGTTTTAAAATCAGAATTAACTTTTTAAAAAAAGAGTCTAAATAAATTAAATTCTGGATTGAGGGAAACTGACAGTCTGAACAAATATATTTTGGTAATAGGGGAAAATTCAGGTCATCTAATTGTGTCCTACAGTAATGTCTTATGTTTAACCTCCATCAAGCTTTCAACTTCTTATGAATGCTTGTATGAGTGAAATTCCAAAGAAATTACGCCTGTTTTGATAAAATATATTTACGTATATTTATCAAAACAGGCTATAAGGAATGTCTGAAATTTAGAATTAAAAGAACTTGAATGTACTGTAGAAGACTAATATTTAATTGACTGTGGCAAAGTAAGCGTGGGCCGTCATCTTTGGGATAGTCTTCCCGGTAGACTTTCAAAGAAAATGTCTCATATTCACGTTGCACATAAGAAAAACTACAAAAATCATCGTATGGAATCTTGTCAGGCTGTATTCATGCGGGAAAGGAAAATAAATGATTCATTTCAAAATATTCTAATTTAAAATTTTTTGAGCCCCCAAATGAAGTAAGAAAAATGACTTCTTAAATTCTTTGAGTGTATTTTAAACACTGCTTTGGTGTTTAAATTAAATGTTTTCTGTTAACGGTGTTATTTCTCATAAAAACAATTTGTGCTTTGAATTTTAAATTAAATGGAAGTCCTTTTTGATTCATTTCTTGAAGTGTTTGTATCTCTCCTAACGATGTGGGCGTTCCGATTCTTGAAACGATGCACCCACACAAAAACGAGAAATATCAGTTATTGTCGACTTCATGTTCGGCTAAAGAAAACGTATCGAAGTAGGTAACTATAGCATTAAAGTGTCTACTGAAATTAAAACTTAAGAACATTGCCAAAACCTCATGAAATGTGCATGTTTCTATACACTACGAGGAGAGGCAATTAAAAACTTACTATTTAACTACTTAATACATTATATTAATAAAACTTATATGTTTAAAAATAATTATTTGCGAATCAACAGAGGCACGTATTATTAGAGTAGCTATGTAGAGATGATAATGGTCTGGTTGTCCTTTCAAATTAACTTGCATGCAAGTTTAAGAAATATTCTATATTTTATGGCTTTATGGAATTATTTGGAACTAAACTGTATCTGCATATGAGACGTATAAAAATAAGTGGAGACAATTTGTTTGAGAAATATTACAACCAGATGATCATATCACTGTGTTGGGATAGTACGAGACTATTTGATTCATGATGTAACATTCAAAGCATTCTGTAATGCGTGTGGCGTGGCATGTACCTTTGATTTTGGTTTAATGTTTGTTAACATATTAAGATGCTTATCATGCTGAAGAGTTTTCTGCCATAGCAGAATTATATTTTGTATTATATACAACATGCAGTCCCGTTCTGAGTGACTCTACTAGCAACTTTGATGCAGGATCGTTAGGTTACTGAAATAAGGAAAAGCAATTTGAGGAATACCTATCTATGAAGGATGCCTTAGTGGAGGACTTTTTAAGGTAAACTAGATTGTGCCTATGTTACACATGGGAAAACCACGAAAACACGCATGCAGCAAACCCATTCGCCGGGATATGAAACCGGTAAAATTACCAGTGTTTCGCAACATTACCGCTTGGCCGCTGGTGGGCAACCTTGACGCAGGAAGCTAGTAGAATCTGAAGATTTACTTTATGGATTTTTTTAAGTAATGGTTATTAGGCAATATATCCTACATAAGTCTACAGGAGTTGAAATACGCTTCCTGGTCGGTGTAACATTATGCATTGCCGAAATTTAAATCTCCGGTCTTAACATTTGGTTTTCATTTATACTTAATATCTTCTGTATTCTACTCACTTGCTTGACTGGTATAACTAAATGTGAATCACTAAATTCTTTTGTAATCATTTCATTAAATAATATTACTGTAGGCTATGTCTGATTTGGTGTTGGTGTATTTAATTATGGCAAAGCACACTAGGGCTATCTGCTTAAGGGGAGGGATGCCTTCGTGGAGGACTTTTTAAGGGAAACTGGCT